CCCCAAAACCCCAAAACCCCAAAACCCCAAAACCCCATTTTAAGTACCTTTTATTGAAAAATTATACCATAGATTGTCACAGATCTGTCATTTTCTGTCTTCTTTTGATATACTGATGATCACTCTTGGCTGGGATCACATCCTACATCTCAGTACTAATCCCTACCATAAGTCTAAGACCAGAGCTATCTCTGGAATATCTCCTGTTTTCAAAACTATATCCATCCCAATATTGATCCTTTACACTACTAACTCACCTAAAAAAATCTACAAGACACATATAACCAGTTACCCTCTCTCTTGAACGGACTTCTTCTTTGTACCAGCCAGCCGGCTCTCCTCCAAGCCATAAATCTGGTACTTATTCATACGGGGTTTCTTGAAGCTAGGAAGAATTAGTATTGATGATGGTTGGTTAATATAACTGTTGCTATTTTGAACCAGTCAACTTCGAAAGTCTCAGGAAACTAGAGTCCATAGCTTAATACTACTGGTTGCTTACCTTAAGCTTGGGAATGGTTTATTGATGTTCCTTCAGAATTTGGACTTCTTTCTTAGCCTTTGGAGGGATGGCTTCTCGAAGGGATTTGCAGGGGGTGAAGGAGCTATTGAATGGATTTTGGGAAGATTTTGGTATTTTGAGCTATAAAATGAAATTATATATTGGGGCTATAGACCAGAGATAGATTTTTAGTGCTTTGGAGGAGCTATGCGAGGAATATATCAAATTATCTTTGGAATATGAGTTTGTAATTCATTACCTTATCTTATTATTATCAGTCTTGGACTGGGAGGCGTAATTTCTACTCTTCTTTTTAGCATTTCATTTCACTTTTATGTGCATATTTGGATATTTTCTTTCAAGACATCTCCGAGATTCATTATTTTGAGGTTTATCTACACATTTATAGCTTTGTTACATAAAACTATGAAATATCTATCTAATAACTAAGCATTGTCAACACCATAGGGCCAAAACCCAAACTCTCTTACGCTCTAGTCTCCTCTAAGCTACGACCAGGATGCTAAATTCCTTCTAAAAATCCCAAAATCTCTACTCTGCCGACAGTCTGGCTGCACCCATCCAGTAGAACTAATATATTAAGCTTGGAGATCACAAAGTTTCAGAATATTTACCCTCTGAAGAAGCAGAACCAAAGGAGTTTTAGAGCATAAAAAGATAAAATTGAGTGCTTGAAATGAAAATAGGCGCTGGAGAAGTCTAAATTATTAGTGTTCGGGACAATGAATGCTGGCTGTGAGGATGTATTGATGGAATAAAAACTCTGAGGAGTTTGCTTAGGCTAAGAGTTATTAATCTGACAACAAATGGTCGGTATTTAGGCAATCCTACACTTAAATATCTCCATTGTCTTATAATAACTACATATCAATTTACTCCTCTCAACACTTATAGCCCACAAAAGTATGAACTAGCATTTGAAGTTTAATCTGAAGCTGATCTGCAGAAAATTTTGAGAAAACTCAAAGATTTTGAGAAGAACTGAGATTCACTTACGAAGAGAAGCTTCCTGTTCTCCATTAAAAGAGTGCTCTAGAGTGTTCTTTTAGATTTTAATCCAAGAATAGAGCTTTTAATGATCAGGTTTTGGGGTTTTACTAACGTCATTGGCTTCGTATTAGGGTCTAAAGTTATCAATAAGTACATAAAATAAAAAAATTATTGTGTTTTAGCTCATTTTTCAGCACCAAGGATTTATAACAAAAACATATCTCCTTAGAGCCTTCTCGGACTCATCTGAACAATGGACCCACCTAGAGTAATCTTCTGTTTCCTCATAATATTTCTCCGTAGCTTATTTAATATAAAGATCCTGCTGACTGGGGCTAAAGGTCGGTGGCAATTGTCCAAATCCTTTCATATTACCTATACATGACTCTAAGCCATCATGCTCACCTTGCGACTGCCGATTCTTAGACTTTTTACCTACAAACTTGTTCTTGACCGAGGAGCTGTCCAGATTCTTAAACTAAGATGTCAAAAAGTAGCCTACATCAAGAGCATACATCTTGCTGGGATCAGGCAATGCTACTTGGCTTGAAGGAGAGCTAAGGGTAAAGTAAAGTTCCTTACTTATGAGAAGCTGACATTTCAGATATCTAACAATTTATAATCTTTATTTTACAATAAAATTTGCAACCTCTGGGGTTTTGGGGTTTTGGGGTTTTGGGGTTTTGGGG